TCTTTCCTTTTTTTTTTTTTTTTTTGGAGAGGTTTTTGCTATAGGGCACATGTGCTTGCCAGAAAAACAGAGAGAGACAGAGAGACAGAAAGTGAGAAATCACTCCCCAGAAGGGATGGCCACGCCACAATCCCTTTTCCTCCATTTTCCTTCGGGATCTTGGGCACGCAGGCACACACGCCCGGCATGAGTTTAAGCGGCCAGGTGTGGGACTCGAACTGCGGTTGACTATGTGGGAGACCAGCGACATAGCCATTACGCTAACTGCTGGTCCCTCCAATTCTTTATTTCCAAAATTATCTTATCAGAATTCCTGGTGATCTATGAACATGAGAAAGAAGGCTCCATTCATCTTTTAATCATACTTCTGTAGAATTATCTAAATTTCCAATGTTGCTAAAAATATAGCAAGCAAAATTTTCAGTGGAAGTGAAAAATAATCAAGATTGAAAAATAGAGGACAGTGGGATTTCCAATATCCACCCAAGGAATTTCTAATTTCACACTCTCTTAACAAAGCATGGTCATGGTGTGCTTTAATGCATTGACTGTTTTTGTCAAAGGGTGCAGTTAATATTTATGATTTACAAGCATTGATATTTGAACACCTACTTTTGCTGTACCTGATACGTTTTCAGAAAGAAAAAAGTCCCAAGCAATAAATAGTTGACTGTTTACAATGTTTTCAGAATATATGATTACTTTAGTTCTGCAATGGTTGCTCTGAGTTTTTCTCTTTGGGCTCCACAAAATTCACCCACCTTGTTTTCTTTTTTATAAAACTGAAAGGTTGGGATACAGAAGACATCACAGTCTTTCACCAGTTCCTCACAGTCATCAGCATCTACTTCCAGGAACACCATGTCATTGTGCTCCAGAGACAGGGAATGGAAGAATGGCCGGATGGTCCTGCAAGGCCCACACCAGCTGGCTGAGAATTCCACAGCCACTAGCCTCTCCCCAGCCTCCTTAAGCGCTGCCTTGAAGTCCTCCTTGCTCAAGATAATTTTCACCATGTCTACCTCCAGGTACTCCATCATTTCTTCTTCAGGTTTCAGAATGTCACCTTCCTCAAGCTGGATGTCTTCTTTTGAGGACTTTGGGATGTTGCCATCCTTGGATTGGGTGACTTCTGAGGATTTGGGTGCATCTTTGGGCTGATTGGTTTCTTCTGAGGACTTAGAAACATCACCCTCCTTGGGCTGACCGGTTTCTTCTGAGGACTTAGGAACATCACCCTCCTTGGGCTGACCGGTTTCTTCTGAGGACTTAGGAACATCACCCTCCTTGGGCTGACCGGCTTCTTCTGAGGACTTAGGGACATAACCCTCCTTGGGTTGACTGGTTTCTTCTGAGGACTCAATGATGTCACCCTCCCTGGGCTGAATGGTTTCTTCTAAGGACTTGGGAACATAACTATCCTTGGGCTGGATATTTTTTGTTGAGGATTTCAGGATGTCACCTTGCTTGGGCTGGATGGCTACTTCTTTAGGTTTCAGGATGTTTCCTTTCTCAGGTTTAGTTTCTTTTGGGGACTTCTGGGTGTCATTCCTCTTGAATGGATTGTATTTTGCTAAAGACTTGGAGATATAGCCATATTTGGACTGGGTGGTTTTTGTAGTGGATTTGGGCATATTGCCCTGCTTGGACTGGATGTTTTTTGCAGTGGACTTGGGGGTGTTTTCCTGTTTGGGTTGGGCGGTGGTTGCTGAGGACCTGGAGATGTCATTGCTCTGCTGTGGGAACTCAGACTCCTCTGTGGACAGGCGGAGTGTGTTGTCAATCACAGGGACAAAGGCCTTCTCTTTGATTTGGGCTGTTTCCAAGAGCTCTGGGACCAGGACAGCCACATTGTTGGACCTATAAAGGACTTTCAGAACAAAAAGGGCAAATAAATAAAGTAAAAATGCAAAAGAAGGAACAAAATAACACTGATCACACAGTCCAAGGAAGATTGTCATTCTTAAGCAATCACAAGTAAAGTTATTGATGTTAATCAATAACTTAATTCAACAGAAGGCCAAAGAGCATATGTACAAGGGGTTCTTCAAAAAAATTAATGGAAAATACATAGCATGAAAAACTTATGCATGAATTTCCGATTTTTTTACACCATTCTCTCACACATTTTTTAAAGTCCCTTGGAAATCTTTCTTTTCTTTAATTTTTCTTTTTTTTTTTTTTGAGAGGTTTTTGCTATAGGGTGCGTGCGCTCTCCAGACAGACAGAGATAGAAAGCGAGAAATCACCCCCCAGGGGGGATGGTCACGCCGCAATCCCTTCTCCTCCATTCTCCTCTCGGGATCTTGGGCATGCACGCACACGCGACCGGCATGAGTTTAAGCCACCGGATCTGGGACTCGAACGCGGTCAACTACATGGGAGTCCAGTGACATAGCCATTACGCTAACTGCTGGTCCCCTTTTTTAAAAAAATTTTTCTATAGAGTATGTACATTCACTAGAGAAAGACAGAAAGAGAGAAAGAAAGTAAGAAATCACCCTGAGGGGGTAAGGCCACACTGCAATCCCTTCTCTTCCAGCCTCCTCTCATGGTTTTGGGCACACACGCACATTTTCCTGGTGTGTTTTTCAAGCCACCAGGTCTGGGACTCAAATTAAAGGCAGCCACATGAGATCCCATTTCCTTCATCACCACAACACCAGCTGGGCCTATATATATATAATTTTTTTTTTTTAACTACAACATTCTCTGCTTTCTTTTTTCTTTCTTTCTTTTTTTTTTTAACACTGCTGCCCCCTCCCCAAGTACACAAGCAATCTCCTTTTCTTTCCTCTTACCATTAGTATCAGTTTTATTAGTTTCTTCTTGATGTTCCAGTCTTGTTTCTGGTTCCACTGGGGCTCCAGCTTCAACACTTCCCATTTCCAGTTCCTTACCTATACCCACTCCTGGTCCTTCATAGATGCCTTATACTGAAAGCCGTACCCTCCAACTTTTTTCACCTTATGCAACCTAAGCCCTTTATGGTTGGTCTTCCCTATCTATACTCACAACAGTGATATTCGAGCACATCATGACAGCCTCAGTGATGGTGGGCTATGCCGTGCCTGAGGCTAGGGATATGTCTTCACAGGCATTGTTTCCTGTAACACAACCACCACTGAGGTAAGCACCATTATGATCAGCTCTTTACAAATGAGAAAACTGAGCCTTAGAGAAGTAGCTCACTCAAAGTCACAAAGCTAGGAAGTAGGGCAAGCTCAAAACCACACTGTGTTGTACTGTTTGCCTGCTACCCTGCCTAAGCTGGATATTGTGAACCAGCCCTCCTATACTCTCCCTCCAGGATTCTCCAGCCCCAGCCTTCTCTTTATGACTCACCCACTGTAATCCTCTCCTATATGTCTCCTCATGGCCATGTTAGCTGCCCCTGGGAAGTGCCACATGATGTCAAATGTCCGGCACTTGCCAGATAACTCTCCACAAGCCCAGCCTGCACCCTTTCTCACAGGCATGTCCAAATACACTGCTGACATTAAGAAATACGGATTTGCTAAGGCTAATGCTATTCTATCTCCTTTCCCCCTTAATAAAATATATTTTGGTATAAAATTCCACATAGCCAAACCATTGCCAAGAGCTGGATGGAGGCTTCTACAGATAATGTGGAGGTCTTTTCCTTTAGACAGTCCTCTTGATTCTCACCCTTATGTTGCTGGGCCAAAATTAAAACAGATGAGCACTTGTTCAGAGTGCATCTCTAAAGAATGCCAATTTCCGTATCAATACATAGCACTTTGAACTGGCTGTGCTGTGTAAAGTGAGGCTAGAAAACAAGGGAGTTGCCCTGGAGTGTCAAAGGGTGTCTTCTCAGGGAAAAGGTATTTGAATCCTGATTCTGCAGGATGGGGTAGACATGGTAGACATGGCTGAGGGAACTAGGACTAGCCACAAAAAGGCTGTTTTCCTTCAAGTAAACGGTGGGAGGAGCCATGTATTTGGGGACTAAAGAAGCCATGGTATAGGAGGGTTTGTGACCAGAGGCAAGGACTATAATCACAAGTACCACCAGTTAGTAAGGGTGAGGATGCCCTCACCCTAGATGGGATCAGTGAGTCTTCAGTCCTCAGTCCTCAGTCTGGGACCAGGCCAGAGTGGTCATTTCACAAGGGAGACAGCAGGAGGCAGAGCACCTGGCCACAACGACGCAGTATAACCCTGTGCACCCGATGTTAAGGAGGAAGGGAAAGAATCTGAAAGAATGAGCTGCTACCACCATAAATAGAAAAACGTGTTCTTTAGGCTGAAATTCCTCAAACAGGTCATTTAAATTCAGTGTCTTTATTTCTCACCACCCTCCTCAAAGCCCACTGAGTTAAGGTTCATGGAGAAGAGTAGATGCACTTTAGAAAAGTGTATAAGCTATATTATATCTGCCTATCTCAGTCAATGCGGTCCTGTTATATTTATACATGGAGAGCTTAGTTGTGTGTTAGGTTTGGCACAGTTGTTCCAATTATTTTCACTCTTACGTCTGCAATTTGGGTGGATTCCAAGCAACTTGAAATATTGATGCTTCAGGTCAACTGATGGCATAGTGCTTAAGGCAGCTGGATCCCACATGGCCACTTGTGCAGTTCAAGTCCCAGATCCAGCAGCTTGAAAAATATGCCAGGTATATGTGTGTATGCTCAAAACTCTAAAAGGAGGGAGAAAAGGAGAAGAAGCGATTGTGGTGGATTATTCCTCCTTGGCAGGGGGAAGGGGAGTACCTCCTTGCTTTCTTTTTCTCTCTCTTTCTCTCTGTCTTTCTCTGGTGAGTGCATGCTCCCTTTGACAAATTGGGGGGAAAAAGAGTCTCGAAATTTAACTAAGGATCCCTGGACACCCTGCCAGGATGGGGCTGTGAGCAATGGCCCACATCTGACTTCTGGCATAAGGGCGTAGCTCTCCACTGTGAATATTTGTTGGAAAATTCTGTTCAGAGCTACTGTGGTAAGATTTGGGTTACATGTAAGTTTGCTGATGTTTTAATACAAATAGGCTACTCAAATAGATTTGACAAAGGCACATGACTCTGGCCATGGGTTGCAAGGATATCGTTCTCTGCACATTGTCCTTTGAATCTACCATTGCCCACTTTTGAAAGGAAGTCAGACAAGTGAGTTAGCAGGCTACTGTGACTGCACCTGCCTTCGGACAAATGGAACGCATAAGAGTACGGCAGTTAAAAAGATGCAAAGAAACAGGTCCTATGAAACATGGCTTAGTGCATTAATTGTAGCTTTGATGTTCAGAGTCACTATAATGAACTTACTGGGAAGAGCTTAAGCTCATTCTCACCATGAGGGAGTGTGACAATCAATGGGCATTAACGAATGAACGAATTAAAGACATGGATGGTTTACAGTTTGTATAACAGGAAACAGTTGAGTTTACACTAAAATGCTTTTGTAACAAAAATGTTAATTTATTTATTCCGTGAGAGTCAGGGGTAGAGAGAGAAATCACATGGTTTTCACACACAATTCACTCTCAGTCTTGTCCAGCCTGCATGACAGGCACACATGCAACCAGCATGTGCAGGGAGACCTCAGGGCATGAACCCAAGACCTTCCCATGTACCCTAAGCATCATGGAACACTGTGTTACTGCCTGCTGCCCCACCATGGCTGGCTTAACATACTTCATTTAAAATATACTTTTACTTTCATGACTTTTCTTAACATCTTGCAGACTACCACCTCATTTTGGCATCTGAATAAAACAGGAGAGAAATGAAACAAACTATTCCATAAGACTTTCCCATATCACGCAATACTAACTTTAAAGTCAGAATATTGAGAAACAACAACAAAAAGCATAAGATGTCACAGGCCAACATGTAGTCCTAACCACTCAGACTCTCTTGTTAACCACACACTTTTCATTTTCATGGCATAATTTGTTCCCCCTCACCCCAAATAGAAGCTTCTTGAAGATAAGGGGGATGTCTTGGCATATCCAGTCTTTTTGATGTTTGTGTGTTTGCTGTAGGGCACATGCTTGTGCAGGAGTGGCAGGGGGGTGGCGGGGGAGTGAGAAAGCACTCCAGGGGGAATAGCTATGCCACAATCCCTTCTCCTCCATTCTCCTCTTGGGCTCTCGGGATTTAGGGCATGCACACACATACCTGGTGTATTTTTCAAACTGCTGAGTCTGGGATTCAAACTGCATTTGGCCATGTGAAATCCAGTCACTTTAACTACCAAATTGGCTGAGCCCCATCTCCCGTCTTTAGCCCAGTGTAGAGTACACCATTCACTCAAAGAAAGCTTGTACAATAGGATTGAAGTGCCTGTGTCATGTGAGTTTCTTTTTTCTCACCCTCTAAGGTAAAACCCAATTAACTTCCTAAGCTACACCTAATGTCCTCTGCTACAACGCTGAGTATAGAAAGGAGCTTCCTGGAGCTCTTCAGGTGACGGCCTCATCACACACATCAGCTCTCTCTATCCCGGTGAGGTAGATACCACCTGCCAACAATACTATCTATTGGAAGGGCAGATGTTTTCAGAATTCAGGATTTAGTTTGGATTTTATAAAAGTAATTAATGTATCACAGAACACTCCAGCAGAAACAGAAGGAAGATCCTATAATCAGACAGTGGTATTTCTGTGTCTAGATATACAAACATGCACCCTGGATGGCTAAGTAATGATTATAAATAGCATTCTGTCTGTTCAGATTTGGTTTCACTGCCAAATGAGCCCATATCAAATATGGGGGGGGGGATTTCCACTCTAAGTTCTTTGTATTCTAGAAGCATAAGCATGTGTGCATATGAGTTGTTTATCTGCGTTATACATCTAAGCAGGGCTTAGGCTGATCTGCCAGAGGTCCCACTGCTGGCAAATCTTCGCCTCTACACTACATTGCCTCCCATGAAAAGAAAAAGAAAGACAACAAAGAGAAAAGTGGCAACTAAGAGGACAGGAATAACGAACCCTTCCCAGCTCCAGGGGACATCTGTGGCAACACTGCAGACACTAAGTTTCTTGTCCTCAGTGCTTCCAAACAATGACTTCACTGCATCCTGACACTGAGCCCTATGATGTGGGCACTATCCCCATTTTACAGGAGAAACCTGTGGCTCAGAGAAACCACGTAAATTGCCAATGACCATTGGATGAGTAAGGGGCGGAGCTGACTCCCAAGCCCCCAGGTCCTGCCCATCTAGTCAGAGCGCCTCCCCCAGTCAGGTTGCCCTGCTGGAGTTGAAGAAACTTCTCCTGTTTGCACTTCTTAGTTCCCTTGTCTTTTTTTCCTTCTCTTTGTTTCCTCCTTATAAGCTTGGTAATTGCATAAATCTGATGAAGCATAAATCTGACTAACCAAGTACTTTACTCACAGTAGCCCTCAGTAAATACTTGTTGGATGGATGGATGGGTGAACAGATGGATGAAAGGATGAGCGGATGAATAAGCGACTGTACAAACCTACTTGTGATAAGGATAAGGTGCTTACCTGGGAATTCCTGAGTTGTCTGCCCACCCCTCAATCCTACCTCCTCCTTTGCCAGATGTGTAGGAGGCTAGACCAGAATGACCATGTGTACACCCTGGTGTGCTGAGACTCTTTCATTTACTGCTGTTGCTTCAGCTGAAAATTAACAGTACCCCTTTTCACTCTCAAAAGTGCCCCACTTTGGGCATAACATCTCCACGTAAGCAGAGGATTTGGGAACTTAAAAAGGCAAGCTCTGATAAAGCTGGGATAAAGTTGTGCCCCAAGCTGGGGCTCCCTACTGGGTAGGAGACAGCTGGCACCTGAGACAGTGAGCCCTGTACTGCCGCCTACCACTGTCCCAGAAGTGGCTCCAGGCATGGGGTCCCATCCCATCTGTCATCCTGGAGCCCCAGCAATGGCGTAGGGATGCTGCCACACCTACCTGGGACAGCCCTCACCTAACCCTAGGCTGCTACCCCACCATTCTCTGAGGCCCCCAGAGAGGTTCATGCTCCCATTCACAGTCTGCCTGTTCCCAGGTGTTATAGCAGGACATAGAAGTGGCCTGAGGGATCCAGGTGCACAGGACGAGGGTCACAGAGGGATCGTGTGAACCTGGTGACCAAAAGTGAGAGCAGGCTTGGGGCTGATAACCACATGCCAGATGGGAATGAGATCACCACGGACAGCAAGAGGTACCAACAATTAGGAACATCTCCCCACAGGTGCGAGTGCACTCCAGAAGCTTAGATGCAATTCCCACCCTTTACCCTTGAGAGAAAGGGTAGAGAATTAAATCCTGATAAAAAGTTCAAGCCTAAAGTGACGGAAGGCACTGGGGCAACTGGGCAAAATGAGGTGAGACTAAATTCAGCTCTCTGCATCAGGCAGATGGGGTGCTGGCAAGATCATGTGATCACTCATGTAGCTGATGGAGGGACCCACCTGGAAGGAACTGAGACCTGCTGCTGACAGCCAGTGAGTCACTTTTGAAGGCAGAATCCCAACCCATTAGGTCTTTAGATGACTGTAGGCCCAGTCAACCTCTCAACTTGGCCAGTCTTATTAGAGACTCCCCTCCCCCAGCCAGAACCACCCAGTCAAGGTACGCCCAAGTTCCTGCCCTCAGAAAAAAAAAAATGTAAGATCCTAAGTTTTTGTTGAATTACGCCAATTTTTCATTTCAGGTAAATGTGTTTTGCAGCAATAGCAGATATACAGGACTTCTGAAAGGTCTTGGAAAACAGAATTAAAGTATGAGTTTATTTTGGTACAAAACATTTTGAAATTCTAGCTATAGTTTTTTCTATAATATGTATCTTCCGTGAAGTTTCTGAGACCTCTCCATATGTATCACACGCATACATAGACACTTTTGGAATTATATTCCTAAAACCAGAAAACTAGAATTAGTGAGTCACAAGGTACTGTCATTCAAATATTTTCAATATACAGGGCCAAACTGCTTTCTAGAAAGATTTTGCCAACTTATACTCTAACCCACATATATAAGACTGCCTATTTTTAGTATACCTGCCAACACTTAGTGTTACCTTTTTGTTTTTTAAACCGAGCACTGGAATGGAGGGGAGAAGATAGCTTCACTTAAGTACAAAACACCATTCACACTGCTGTAGTATATCTGGAGATGTGAGAGAAGATACTTCCTGGAGACAAGGGTTCAGGAAGTTGGGATGAAGTCTCCCTCCCCTACCAGCCAGCAGGTCTTACTCTCTGGACAGTATCTGCTGGGTCCAGAAAGTGTTTAAACACTACTTAGAACAGCCACGGTAATACTGAAGGAGTTGAGCTTAACTCAGCCCTGGGCTATGTGTCTTTGTTCTCCAGGGCCCTTTGATCAACAGGAGTTGTTTAGTAAAAATGTGCAAGTTGCCATGAAGGCCTCCCAGCTTCAGTGCATAACTCCTCAGATACTGAGTCCTATTAAACATGAAGAAAATGGAACTGAAGAGCAAGTTTATTCTGTTGTGAAAAATGTTGAAATCCATGCACAGTTTTTAGTAAGACACATTTTTATGAACTCTTTGAAGACCCCTGAAAAACAGAACAGAATGTAGACTGTAGAGCTGCCTTCCTGTGCACTCCCAAGGAAGTCACTCTTGTGGCAGTGTGTGTGGATAGAGCCCTCAGTAGCTGTGCAGTACATGGCATGGGCAGCTGAACTCTGGTCCCTGTTGAGAAAATAAAGCGAGTCGAAGCGTTACAAATGCGTACAATAACGTTTTCACGAATGTGAAAACTACACATTCATGTAGGTCATGAATGTGTGTGTCAAAACAAAAGAAAATGGAAAGGATAAACACGAACTTCATGACTGTCCTTCTCTGTGAAAGGGAAGTCAATAAAGTCGGGGAGGAGAACAAAAGATATTTAACCATTAGTAATTTTTTTTTCATTTCATGATATAAAAATACGAAGCCAACCTGACAAAGTGATAGCATGTGCTAAATTTCAAGGTGTGTGCTTTATTAGACTTTTTGTTTTTCTATGTTAATTTTTTTCAAAGAGGTGGGAGAGTGGAGACAATGAACCATACAGGATTAGGCTGACCTCTGTAATGAGCTAGAAAGTTTTCATCAATGTAATTGCCACCTCAATGTAGCCAATACAGTTTCTTTTTTTTTTTTTTTTTGGAGAGGTTTTCGCTATAAGGCGCGTGCACTCGCCAGACAGACAAAGAGAGACATAGAGACAGAAAGCGAGAAATCACCCCCCAGAGGGGATGGTCACACCGCAATCCCTTCTCCCTCCTCTCGGGATCTTGGGCACGCACGCACACACGCCCGGCGTGAGTTTTAAGCCACTGGGTCCGGGACGTGAACCCCAGACGACTACGTGGGAGTCCAGCGACATAGCCATTACGCTAACTGCTGGTTCCCTAGCCAATACCCTTTCTGAAGTATACTTAGTCCTATCCTTTTCCTTCCATCATCTCCACTCCTCCTACCTGCCCGCTGACACACACACTCATCCATGTTGCTATCTTAGAGATATCGCGTTCATTTTCATTCTCTTATGACTGTCATCATGGGATAATGCCACATTTTACTTATCTATTTCCTTAGTGGAAACAACATTTGGTTATGGCAAAGAGTGCTCAGTGAACATCCTTACACGTCTCCGCCCAGACAGGGACACACATTTCTCTGGAGAATCACCACACTTTGTGATTGAGTGTGATTCTAAAAAAATGATCCTATTGAACCTTGCAAGAAGAAAAAGACGAAGGTGGTAAACTTAGAATATTTATTAGTAAGAATCAGCATGTGTTCAACCAAAAATTACAGATACAATTGGGCATTGTTGAGGGAAACGCTTTACCATGGAATAGATACACGGTGGCAAGGTCCAAGCTGTCTGCAGTGGTGTCTTCTACGTGCCGGGACTGGGTCCAGCCCAGATGGAGGCCTTTTACACAGGCAGGAGAAAGGGAGGAGTCTGCACAACAGAGCACTGCCGTCGGATCATTGGGTTTAGCTTCAACAAAACGGTGCAGAGGGTAAACTAGATACCTAATTGGTATGAAAACAGCGGAGCCTTTCTGTTTACATAAGCTAGCTCATTGCACAACTTGCCATGAGCACTGCAGAGCAGTAAGAAGTGTAGCCCACAAAAAGGAGCTCAATTTCAGCTACCACCTGTCACAGTCCTCAATTTGATCATCCAAACCTCCCTCTGAAAATGAACTCAGTTTAAATGGGGCACAGCCTGTATTGTTGGCTAAAAATTAGTTTTAGGTCTTCAGCCTTTGAGTCTGCAAGGTAATGTCATATTCAGCACCCTAATGTGCCATTTTTAACTCTAAAATGGCAAGTCAATTATGTACCTATGTAAAATGTTTATGCAACTCCACTGCCATTCTCAGGGATTTCTGCTGGGAAACAGTCCCTGTGAGAATTCATACCTAACTTATATAACACATAGCCATGAGCCAAGCTCAGCAAATGAAATGCATTACATGTCAGCATAACAAAAACAAAATTGTATTTACACGTATACACACACCACACATGAAAGAACACAGGGGACAGGAAGTAAATTTTGGAAAATGATGTCCAAGATGTTATAACACATGAAATTACTTGGCATTGTGAAGCAATGGTCATTTCTAGGCCTTCACATAATGTTACATGGTTATGGTTCAATGAACAGAATAGCCAGAAAGTAATCTCAAGCTGAAGTAAAGGAAGGCAGGAAAGCCTCATTGGGGACAAGACCCAAGCATTCATCTCGAGAAAAGACAAATGTTTATGTGAATACTTGTGCGTTCAAGTGCAACGGACTCTCTGCTAATTGCTCCAAGTGGTGAAGAGAATATATTTCTGTCTGACGTCAATGTTGTCTAAGGCAATATAGAAAGGTAAAAGTACTGTTTCATACCCTCATATGCTTATGAAGTAAAACCATGGGCTCATCAGCTTGCTACATGTGGTTAAGACCTTGGCATTCTATGTAAATTACAAGCACGACAAACCGAGCCCACAGCTGTGGAACTTTCTGCGTAGCTAGGAAACCTGAGCAGCTATCTGGAGATAATTCCAGGTTCTCAGAGAAAGCTGGATGAGGAAAGGTGCAAAAATAAGCTTGCATGTCACCTGGAAAGAGGTCACTTCAATTTTCAGTTCAAATTTTTAAACTCTGGCAAAAGGTATGATCATTTCTTGGCCTGTGGGCAGAATCATGTCAGCAAGTATTGTTGAGAATATGGAGAAAAAACTGCAAATCTTTGCAAAGTCCCTGCCAGGATATTCAAATGCCAATAGCTAACAATTTTTGAGGTACTTGTCTGGGATAGCCAAGTGGCACTTTTGAAGCAAAAATAAGCATTTTCCAGCCTTCACATCCCGAGATGGTCCATTAGCTCTCACAAGTAGGGTAAAACAGTTAGAGCATCAAACTGACAGCACGTTCTTGAGTTGAAAAACAGAAATCTGTGATTCTGACCTGGTTCCATTTCCTTGATTACAGTCAACATACAGAAATTGTGAGCTTGGCCCTGGTCTCTCCAGAACCCTACCTTTTTGCTGATGATGTGACTTGGCGTCTCTTGCTGGTCAAGAGCATGGTGGGCACAGCCTTCCTATATTTCTAAGCACCAGCTCAGACTGAGTCACTGAAAGTTCAAGGTCTTTAATTAGCTCATGAACTCTTTCTTGACTTTCACATTGTAGGTTATCAATAAAAGTTTGTGAGTCCTTGAAAAAGTTCATGGCAAAGACAGTACCAACTGGCCCTTGCTATCACACAGCACAACTGACCTTATCTGAGACTGGGCTTTTGCAGTTTTCCTAATTCCTACAAAAGGTACTGATCTCAATATCCCTTAAGAATCACCTCCCAGTATAAGCCCTGATAGAAAAATCAATGGTTTCATGATCCCACATTTTTATAGAAATTAGAATAAGAGAATTTCAATTTTCAATGGAACTAGCTTTTATTCCTTTCAATTTTTTTTTTCTCCTGTTACTTCCTTCATATTCAGGTGTCTTTAATTAATTGGGCAGAGAGGAAACCTGAAAAAGAAAGTTTCTGTTGAACCCTATTCTCAGTTCATTGACAACCTAGGATGAGACCTCTGGCTAGGCCTAATACTGTCCTCCCCAACCCTGGCAACACTTACAATTTTTCAGTTTTGTAGATTTTTGGGTTTAGAATTTTAAGGTCCTAATACTTCCTCTGGCTGGCTTTGCTGTAACCTATTATTAATTGCTATTATCAGAAGTTTGTCTTACAATTAGACTCGAACACCCTCTAGTTAATTTTCTTCCCCTAGATATGACACTATAATGTATTTTCTTAATAATATGATATTCTGTTCACTAAACTTCTCTAGGAGAGTGGGAATTTATTACTGTAGAGGTGATGCAAGGCAAGTGGTCTCTTGAATAATATTTATATCCTACACCTATCCCTGCTCACAAAGTAATGGACTCTTCCAAACTAGGCCTCTCAATCTCAAAATTACATGAACTATTTTAGTCTGATTTGGGTTGTTTGTTTGTTTATGAACCAAACTCAGAAATATGTTAATCAATTAAGAGATACAGACAGCAGTTTCTAATATATCTTTCTCCTCTTTTATAATAGCTCAAATCTCAGCTTGAGTGATGGCCCAATTACACTTCTGATTTCTTTCAGAAAAGTAATAAATAAAGGCTTACTTCCAAAGCCAGCTAATAACTAACCTTCTGAATTAAATTTACGTTTTAGTGAAGGCTGGTTAGGTGACAAAGGCAATGGCATTGAAGAAGCTACTGAAATTTGGCTCGGTAACACAGGAAACCAGTGGGGACTGTCAACTTGGAATCCCACATACATAATAAGGCAGCAAGATTTTTGTACAAATCCAAGAAATTTTTCAGGTTTTTGACAACAAAACGCAATTATACTTATTAGATAATAAGTATAATCCCTCCTGTGTGCAGCTCTTGCACAGAAAGGTCATTCTGTGGTGGTGGTGGTGAGGGTTTTCCAGAGTTTTCTGAAATCTTTTCTCAGGAATGTTTCCTGTCCCATTCCCTGCAGGTCTTCTAGGGTGCTCACTCTTCTCAAAGTGGAGTGCTGGGCACCGAGAGCGAGGTCCTTCAGCAGTGCATGGGGACGTGATCACTGGCTCTTCAGGTACCATGGATCATGATCCTCAGTCAGCAGCAGCGCCGGCTGCCTGGTGCCGTTTGCTTCCCAAGTTTGATTGCTCCATTGTTTCCATTTTCATGGGGGTCCAGGGGTGGGATCTGGCGGCCTGGAACAAAAAGGAGACCAAAGTTGAGTTCTTCTTCCCTCAGTCAACACTGCGTAAACAGATCTTCACCCTGTCTCAACACCTCTACTCAATGTTTGGGTTGTAGAGAAAACAGGTGCTCCAGGAATAGCTCTTTTTTTTTTTTCTCTCGCGCTCCCTTCTTCTCTTCCTCTTTCCTTGCTTTCTAGCTCTCCTGTATGAAGTCAAATTCATGTTAGAAAGATAAGGAAGGGGTTGACAGTAGTAGTAGTAGTAGTAGTAGTAGTAGTGTAAAACACTTTGTGAGGCTGACCCACATGAGGTTCTGGGTTCATGTCTGAAGACCTCCCAGAACATGCCAGGCATGCACATGCCCATGATGTTGGCAACTGAGGCTGAGAGTGGATCATGGAATGAGGACTCTGCAGGGATGCTGATCTCTCTCTCTCTCTGCATATACATTATATATATATATATATATATATATATATATATATATATATACACACATATGTATATGTGTGTGTGTGTGTGTGTGTGTGTGTCTGTCTTTCTCATTTGTAGGGGGAGAAGAAATAAAAACTATTTTTAAAAAAGAATAAATTAAGGAAAAGTACAAGTAGTTTCCCAACAATGCAGATATCCTGGGATTGGAAGATTTCCAAACACCTTCTATGCACATAAGTGCGTTCATTCCTACATGGCCTCCCTGCAGGGCCATCTTCCTTTAATGACCAACTTCATGGTATTTTGACTTCAACAGTAACAGTGAGTACTAGTCAAGGCATTCTGCTTCTCAAAATAGAAATGGAATGAGAATTGTTATCTTCTAATAATATAATTTATTAACACTCAGCTCACTTTCTCTCATCCTGCAATGCACTTAGGTCATTAACTGGAAAGTCCTACAGAGATACTCTTCACAGGAAACAGTACTTAAATATCATCCACAAGAAATCTTATTTTCACTTAATTTAATTTATAAATTATCCTAGAGTCTCTATAAATACAAAGTAGAAAATAAGAATGTAAGAGGCGGACAGGGAGGTAATGGCTAAAGGATATGATTTCTTTTTGATAATAACTTCCTTTTTTTCTTTATTTCTTTCTTGTTTTTTTTTTTTTTTTTTTTTTTTTAGGGTTTTTTTCTTTAGGGGCGGGCACTTTTCCCTTTTTGCTATAGGGCACGTGCACTCTCCAGAAAGACAGAGAGAGACAGAGAGACAAAAAGTGAGAAATCACTCCCCAGGAAGATGGCCATGCTGCAATCCCTTCTCTTCCATTCTCTGGGGATCTTGGGCACGCACGCACACATGCCCAGTGTGAGTTTAAGCAGCTGGGTCCGGGACTTGAACCACGGTCGACTACACGGGAGTCCAGCGATATAGTCATTACGCTAACTGCTGGTCCTGATGATAACTTTCTAAAGTTGACTGTGCTAATGGTTACACAGTTCTGCAAATACACTAAAAACCAGTGAATTGTATAAATGAAATGGATAAAATGTATGGTATGTAAATTTTACCTCAATAAAACTGATTGTTTTTTTTTTTTCCCCCAGGACACAGAATCTAGAAATAAGTTTAAAATATGAAGTTTTACAGACTTTTACAGATATCATCCTCACCCAACCCTGTGAAGTTAGCATAAAGGCCATTACTGTCATCATTCTATAACAACAGAGAAGTTGGGTGATTTGCCGAAGGTACTACCTATAATAAGTGGTGCAGTCGGTTCTTTGATTATAACCTACATCTTGATTTTCTGATGGATCCCAAAGCCTGTGTTCTTCCAATTATACTTCATTAGCTCTCTATTCTACTTTTCATTTTAAAAAAGAAAAATATTTATTTATTTCTTCTATGTGCAAGAGAAACGTACAAAGAAAGAGACAGACAAATAGCACCCCTAACAAGGTCTTTAAGCCATAACCTACCCCCAACTTCAGCCAACCACAATCACGGGCTCATATGTGTCTGCTATATTCTGAGAGGTCTTTTTATTTTTAATTTTTAAAAATAATTATTTTCTTTATTTATCATTATTTTTTTTTCCCCAATTTGCCAGAGAGAGACAGATGGAGAGAGCGAGGGAAAGTGAGAAAGCAAGCCACAAGGCCCAGGACTTGAACCTTAGTCAGCCATGTGGGAGTCAAACACCTCAACCACTATGCCACCTGCCAGCCCCCAGAGAGGTCTTTTGATGCAAATCCAAAACTGTCCTGAGTGGGTCAGCCTTTCAAAGCATCTCATTTCAGTGCTGTGCCACCTTCTGGACCCTATTCTACTTTGCTATCCCCCCAAGAAAAAGGCATGAACTTCCACATAGTCAACCACTGCTCTGGAAGCTTAAAACCCATGCCAGGCACATGTGCATGCATTCCCAAGAGGAGAATGGAGAAGAAGAGATTGCGGCATGGCCATCTCTCTGTCCTTCTGTCTCTGTCTCTTCTGGTGAGCACAAATGCCCTATAGCAAAAATCTCCCTCAAAACAAACAAAAAGCTAGAATGAGATTTTTAAAAAACAGCTAACTAGTATATTAATCTACTAAATAACTAGTAATTAGAAATGGAAGGGAAATTAGTCCAAAGTCTTTTAATGTAAGGGGATGTTACCTAATGAACACAGAGCCAGACCACCACCAGAGACGTATCAGAAAGAGTTGATTCCAAAGGTATTAAAGCATTGTGCAGAGTGAATGGTATGAACATTCATCAAACTCAAGCTAAAAGCTTAAGGTCATTGGCATTATTATTATTATTATTAATTTTTAAGAGAAATTTTTGCTATAGGGCACATGTGCTCACCAGACAGACAGAGAGAGACATAGA